ACTGGACCACAAACATCAAAGAGGGATGCCACTTGATGGACAGCTGATCCCAAACTACGTATGTGTCCAGGACACGCAATTAAGTTCGTTGCTCCTAAAAATGCAGTCTGAGCCAAATCCTCCAGCTTCTCTACTCTCGAGGAATGACTGACAATGGACTTATTTTGAATTGCTGTATTTTGGATCTAAGATTTCATTAAAATGCCTGTCTTGTGCTTGGGGTGATGGATGAGGCTCAAGAATGAGGGAGACACAGAGTGTGTCTTGTTATTTTCCCATCTTAATGGTGTGTTACCACAACTTCATATTTTATAAAGTAATAATCACTGCTTCAGAGACACACAGGGTCCACACATTGTCTCCCAGCCCTACTATTTATCTGTTATATTTAAAAACTAAATACTGTACTGTACACAGAACAAAACTCTTGGTCAATTAGAGAGATGCCTGCAATTCCATCAATCCCTTCTTTGGGGCATCACTATCTTTCATTCAATACCAATCCATTTTCGCTTTCTCCATCATACCCATAGCTCTTTCAAGCTACTAGTCCTTATTTTAAAAGTTTGGATACAGTACACCGTAAGGTATAGTATGAAACAGAACAGACAGCAGGGACTTGGAGGGCTCATCACCACCTGCAGCTGGTGGCCAACTAAGTCAGACAGCCATTCCTACCTGAGTGCTTCCAAGCTATATAACTATCATCAGGGTGGCTTTTTTTAAAAAAAAGTATTTGGCTAAGGCCAAATACTACTGCCATGTTATTGGCTGGAGCTGGCCAGCTGGAGCCAATATCTCTCCTATTTAAATCAGTGCTGGCTATCTGTTTGCTCCTAAGCTCAATTCTAGCTCTTGGGTCTATTTCTTAAAGCCTCAAATGGCTTCTTCGGTTTGTGTCCAGGATGATGCTCCCTTTAACTTCCAAGATCCTGCCCCAAGCATTCCTGTCAGATGAAATTTGGAAGGTCCTGGGAATGGAGCCTTGCTAGCAGGCCAATCAACTTTGTAGCCTACTGAGAAATCTCACATTAACTTCTTACAGTTACAAGGCAAAACCCACCCTTTTTCCAAAAATGTTTCTTTACTTTGATCTAAAATGTCTTCATACATCTATAATTATTACAGATACTGGGATAACGCTTCTCTTTACTGAGCTGAGATGTTTATATTTTATTGTCACTGATAACTGAGGAGGCTTCTCAGCCACAAGAGGAGAACTGTATGCATCCAAAAAATGTTGTTGAAACTGCTTTGGGTTCGCAAGCGAAGTATCCATTACACAGACATGCATTTACAAAGAAAAGAAAAACACACACAATGCCCATGTGATTTGACTTCAACTCCATCTTCGCCCACCTTTCTTCTTCTCATGCCCTTCACATTTTTCTCCATCTCCCAACCCACCCAGTCAGGGCCCCAGTTGGCTTCCTCCTTCCACATTCTTCTCTGAGCCTTTTGCCACGTCCAAACACCAAACTCCACCTTCAAGTCCTTCCTTAAGACCTTCAACAAAATCTTATCTTACTCGTGTCTCCATATGCCACCTGATTCTCCCCCACACCTCAGTCTTGCCCTTCACATTTCAGGTTCCAAATGTGGCTGTCCCAGGTGTGCTCACCTAAGGCAGGTGGTGAGCCCTAAGCCTTTGGGAGAATGTTCCATGAACACTGCTGATACTTAATAAATAGCTTGGATCCAAAGAACTGTATGTGGTGTCTGTTTTATGGGCATCGAGGGAATCAGTGGCAGAGCAGGTCACTTCTGAGGTTGCTGGGGGATGGGAGGGATTGCAGGGGCAGGAAGACACATTTGATCTACTGCAAGTAAACCTATTAAAATAAACCTGGGGCTGCCCCATTACTATGGATCTACTTTTCCTAAGAGACATGCCAGAGCCCAAAGTTGAGCATCTTTCAGAAGCATTTAAGAATCCCTGATCTGCTTCCCCTCCTTCCTCACAAAGCAACAAAGGACATGAAGAAACTGAAAACAAAAAAGTCAGGTTGGATTTTACAAGCTGGAGTCCAGCCTGGAGTTTTAGGGAAAGGAGAACTTTCCCTAAAGGAGGCCAAGCTATTTCTTCCACTTGGAGTATTATTCTCCTGCTGGAACCTGGGGAGGGGGGGAACAGAAAGAGCAAAGGGGAAAACAAGGAGGCTTGCAAGCACCTCTTGGGTGTCTCAAATGGGCAGAGGAACCTCCCCGCTTCTTCTATAAACTCACGTTCCCTGGCTGCTTGGGGGGCTATGGGTCCCTTGCCCCCACCGGATTGACTGCCACAAGATTTGGGGTTATTGTCTCCTCCTGTTGGCCAATACACAAGCTTTGAGCAACATCTCTCCCACTCCCCATGTCTCCTGTCTATGTGTATTTTGGCATGCTTTCTCTTCCACTGCATTTGACTGCCAACACTATTAACACCAAGTAGTGGAAGGGGGGGAGGAGAGGAAGGGAGACAGAGAGACACACACACACACTCATGCACACAAGCCTTTGGCTCCTGCAGCAAAACCCATCTCCTCCATCATAACCTCCCCACTGCACAACGCACAATGCACCAACGATAAAGCAAATTTCCCATTTCTTCTTGCCCAGTCAGAAGGCTAGGCAGGAACGCTGGGACCTATTCTTCACTGGCTGGCAAAGACAGAGGGGTGTATTTGAGGGACAGGGGGAGAAAGAGTGGCTTTTCCCTTCCTTTTCTATCTACCTACAGCAGATGTGAAGTGGGGCATGCGACCGTCACCCCATGGCATAACATCCCCAAAGAGATTCCCAGAACTGGAGCCTTACATGCACATCAACCTTTTTTTTTAATCCATGCAGAATAAAGAAGAGGAAGAAAGGAGAGGGAGGAGCTGTACATATATATGTGTATGTGTGTCTCCACTCTTCACTCTCCACACACACATACACACATTAGTCACCAGGAGTCTTTTATTGTTACCACATCTGCCCTGAATTCTCCTTTTTCCATTGTTTAAACAAGAACAAGAAAAGGGGGTGGAAAAGTGTGTTCTGTTGCCTCTGCAGAAGACAAAAGCATGTGGAATGGTGATTATTAAACATCTCTTTCTGTATCTGTGTGCGTATATGTATGTATGTGCGTGCCTCCCTCTCTTTCACTCATGAGATTAGCACAAATTTAGAGGGGGAAGGGAAAAGTAAAGGGGAAAAAAGTGGGAGAAGGATTTTACTCACCCTTGGGGGGAAAAAAATCACAAAATCATGTCACAGGAGTTGCAGCTGAATTGTTTTGCAGGGTGTTTGTCTTTCTCTCACTTTCTCAAACCTTAAACAGTGGTATAACAGACTCGGTCTGCAAAGATCTACCCTACTCCCCAAGTACAAACAAAAAATGTTCGAATTGTTTGGAGAGGCTCTACATTCCTAATTACCATTTGGCAAAAATAGGTAGATTTTAAAAGCAAAGAGGCTGTAATGAAGACATGGAGAGAAAGGAATATGCAATACTAATTTCCTGCAAACGTACCCGCAGAGACTGTGAAAACATACATTCTCTCTTTGCACACATTCCCGGAGACAAAAAAGCACACATTTCTTCTAAGCACAGAAAAACAAAGACAGTTAAACTGAGCTTAAAGAGACCAGAATACTGTATATAATGACAGGCACTACCCAAAATATCTCAATTTGGGGCACAGCAAATTGGGAGTTTCCTTTGATGTCTTGGTGGGGGAGGGGGGAAGTGAGCAAATGAAAGGACATGTTCTTTTATTTTTCTAGATCTCTAACAATCTCAGTGGGAGATTAAATGAAAAGGATGCAAGAGAGTGGATTCTTCTCATTCAGTCACCCCACTTTGCCTGCTCTGATCACAAGAACCCTTTCCTTTCCTTTCCTTCCCTCCCCTACACCCCCCAGGTTGTATTACTTTACACACAGACTGCAATGTTTTAGATGGATTACTCTATCTGCTTAGTTGCTGCTGGAGGGAGAAAAGAGAATCAAACCAAAGATTTACTACTATCTTCTGCCTTAAATACAAGCCCCATCTTCTCATAGCAAACTGAAAAATTGGGGGGGGGGAGGGAAGCAGGCTAAGGCATGGTGGTTCATGCAGAAGAGGTCTGTCTTATAAACTGAGGGTAGGGCTGTCCTTTCCAACGTATCAATGAACGATCAAGCCACACTAATCAGAAAATGGCATTAACACACCAAGATGTAGGACATCTGCTCCCAAAGACTCTTCTTTGAAACCTCACCTATCATTGCCAATTGGATTCAACCTTCAGCCTGGGGTAGGGGCAGGGGCAGAAGATGTATCAGTCTGATGGATGGGGGAGGAGGGAGAAACTTCTTTTTCCTCCCCCCCATACTTCCTCAGGAAAAAGGGTTTTTCCTTTCTCTTCCATACCCCTCCTCTTGGGGAGGAGAGAGATTGAATGACCTATAAAAATTAACTGTATACCCCCCACCTGCCCCCCAGACATATATTGGCTTGAAGTGCCAGTTTTTCAAATGAGCTACTTCGCCCCTCTGACTTCTGAGAAAGAAATCAAATCTGCAAGAGAGACACCCAGATATGTTTCTTAAGCATATAAAGGATCCACGTTCTCCTGTCAGTATTTGGAGGTCTCCTCTCTGCAGAAATGCCACCAGCTACCTTCCCTTTGCTATCTACAAGATGAACCCTGTCCCCAAGCCATATCTTCCCCTCCCCTCTGCTGGAAATCTGAGATATCTTCACCCACAGATGCCAGGGAGACTTCTGCTTGTGCTGAACTCCCAGTAGCAGACATTTCCCCTTCCCACCACAATGGAGATACAAAGTGCTCCCCTTCCCAGAAAATCCTCAACTATTAGGGAAGATTCAATAACAGGGTTCCTTTTGGGCATTGGGGGAGGGGATAAAAAAAATATTGGGAGCTCTTATAGGATCCCCATTTCCATCTTTTGGGGAGGGGGAGACACAGGAGCTAGATCTCCCTCCCACTAGGCATTAGGTAGGGAAAAAAAATGGAATTGCATCTTACACTTCTTAACTCCTGAGTGCGATCCTTCATTGCGATTCCTGGTGAGGCTGTGGGTCCTCAGTGGATTTTCTCCCCTATGCTCCCTGTGGCACAGCAGACAGACACGGAGGTGGGGAAGGACCCCTCTTCTTTGGGGTGGAGGGGGAGAAGGCTGTGGGGAGGGAGAGGGAGGTTGTTGGGAATTGCAGTGATGGATAAACGCAGCTTCCCGGCTCAACCAAGCTGGGAAGAGAATGATGCTCTAAGGATGAAGAAAGGTTGATGCTGATGCAGCAAGGCAGGGTGGGAGGATGCAGGAAAGAGAGAGAGAGAGAGAAAGGCAGGGAGGGGGAGCAGGACTAAGAGGCTGAGCATGCTCCCTCCCACCCAAGGGGCTATGGGAGTTGTAGTCTGTCACAGAAGTGAGGGTGAAGGCATAGTAAGCCAGGTTTGCTTTGCTTCCCATGATTTCAAGAATCAGCTCACACTGGCAGGAGCCTGTACTTGTTTTGGAGAATATTTCTGGAGGGTTTCACCCAAGAGGAAAACACATATTTATTTCCAGGCTGCAGACCCAATTTGGGTGAGAAACCCTTTGAGTCCCCCAGAGAAGCAATGCAAATGTAATTAATTAATACCTATAAATCTTAGGGGAAAAAGAAGAAATATTGGTTACTTCCCCCTTAACCGCTTCCAGAAAGTACAATGACTGGATTGCAGCTAGTGTGTATCTGAATCCCCCAAAGTTGTAATTAAAATATTTGGGTTTAAGGTGTTATGGCAGCCTTGAAAATAGACCTGCAAGTTTCTAGTCTACAAAAATGTTTACAACTCACTTAAGACTGGTAGAAGTGGAATGCAGTTTTCTTATGTTCTTCCACCAAGCTGGCTGGTTCCATTGCATACGATTCCTTATTGCTGTTGACAAAGCCTTTGGGGAAAGAATGATTTTACAGGATGGGTCCTAATTCATTCAGAGTTCTGACTGTGGAAGCAGGGAAGGGTGGGGGTCTTGCTAATTTGCTATGAATCAGCACAGAGCAACAAAAAATATAATCTACACCCTGCCCTGGTTCACTGCTCATCACACCTCAAGCTTACTTCACCTCCTTTCATCTATAAGGAAAAGGTAAGTAGCTACTTGGTGCTCCTAGAACCAGAACTGTTACAAGGAAGCAATTGTGAATATTTTCTTGCCCCTTTGCTTTGGTAGGGCAGCTACAGCCATTTCTAGATCGAAATAGCTTAGTCACAGGTTAAGTCATGGTAACCTCATGACTCAACTATGTAATTTGCTGCATGCTCTAATGCATGGACTGGAAGCTACAGCCAGTTTAAAATTCAGCTTAGCCACTGCTGTTTAACATTCTTGCTGAAAGTGTTATACATCTCCTAATTTCTACCAAGCTAAGCTTAAGACTGTGGTATATTAATACAGCCTTAGCCAACTTGAGGCTGGACACTAGGTTAGGAAGAGATTGTCATGGAGAAAATCTATCTGTGTGGCTGCTAAGAGTTGACACTGACTTGATAGCACATAAATCAATCAACCAACCAGAAAGAAGGTTTTTCCTCCAGTTGGATCCATTAGAACTTCTTTCTCCTTCTAGGGATAAGGCTTGTACTGTATCAACCTTTGTACATTTGAGAGGCACCCTGAAAAGAGTTTTACTGAAGTTGGCATTTGATGCTTCATGGCAGTACCATTCCACTATTCATGGGTATTGGTTTGTATATTTTAATATAGCCAAAGGTCCTTGCTTTATATATTTAATTATAGTTCAAACTGCATGGAAGGTAGGCATGGCACCACAAGCAGTACATACTTTCCAGTAATTAATAAACAACTTGTAAGCAGAGGGTGGAAGCACCAATCTCTACTGTGGCCATAGTTTAGCTATTGTTTTGTATTCAAGGGAGTACAGAAAGTATTCCCCAGCCTGGTACCTCTGTCTGGAGGTGTTAGAATCCAGTGTTCATGCCGGTTGGAACAATGACTGGATGGGAATGTAAGAAGACCTTGTTGGGAAAGACTGTCTTGTGCTTTGCAGGAAGGGGATCCGTTGTATATCTATTACAAATTTATTAAGGGACTTGCATAGCAAAGTAGTTTTTTGGAAGGCCAAATGGCCCACCTTGCAACCAGTGTTTAGCTAGAACACAGAATTACAGCAAGAGAGAGCTCTTAAGAGAGAGAGGTGTTCGGTCACACATGTGCAGATTACATGAGGTAATGACCAACAAATGCTGTGAATTATCTGTGAGGTAAACTGGTTTGTTCTCCACAGAACATATCCCATCCTTGGTTGAGATTACCATGTGAAAAAGGGTCCTAAAAGTAGAGAAGAGTCCCAGAACAACAACAAAAAGTGTTACAATATAATTCAAATGATGGACTTAGCAACGATGATACATGAATTCTTAGGATATATTATAGGGGGGATTTTGAACATAGGGCACTAAATTTAAAATGAATGACACAGACTAAAATCCCAACTTTCATGCACACTAAAGAGTGGAGAAGGGAAAAAGAAAACACTAGTCTTCTTGGGAACCCACCGTAGTCAAAGTGTGTTGGAGAGAACCTTATTTAGATTCATGAATTAAGAATGTAATGAAATGGAACTGAGGCCTTGGTTTTTAAAGCTCAGCTTTAGATAAGATTATGCCTAGAAGAAACTCAGGAACTGCTTGAAGAAGTGGGAAATATGATTAGGTTCTCTAGGTAAGCATTGGTGGGATTGGGTGTCTATGAGCAATAAGCAAAATAAACCTTGCAATATAATTTATGGATTTAGGCTGAGAAGACAGTATTCAGATCTCCCCTTCACTAGTAAAACTCATTTATTAACCTACCACTACTCCTGCTCAGCTTAATGTATTTTAAAGGCTTGTAATGAGAAGGAAGTAAAGGAAAGATGGATGGAGAAATAGAAATTATAAAAGAAATATGCAGAGAGAAAGGGGAGGTGGTGGCTTTCCTCACTTTTCCATCTCCATCTCAAAATGTACAACAAAATTGTAAGCTTGGGACCAGAATAAAGGGGCAGAAATGCAAAAATTAAGTACACCACTTCAGACAGCCAAGGACTGACTGCATTTCTGAAAGTTTAAACCAGTGTTATCCAAATTTGGCCACTTTAAGATGAGTGGACTTCAACTCCCAGAATTCCCCAGCCAGCCATGTGGAAAACACTGGTTTAAAAGGTGACTTCCCTGTAGAAATTTGTCTGCAAAGAAGGCAAAAAGTTTCAGGGTGTAACCATCCTCCAGGGTTTATTAGTTATCTGTCTGCAGGGTGGTTTATACACGGAAGAGCCTTCAGAAGCAGAATCCATCTCTGGGAATTACCCTTCCTCAATCCAGTGCCTCCAAATGTTTCAGATGTCCATTCCTGGGAATCTCAGCTACTGTAGTAATCTTGGGAGTTGCAGGTAGCTGCCAGATGCCAGGTTGGGGAAGAGAGACTCTGACGTTTTGCAGTCCAATCCCATCATCTCCAACTGCCACCTCATTTTCCTGCAGAGCATTTATAATCACTGTTTGCTGTCTCTGTAAATGCAGGCACATCTCTAGTGCATATAGTAACACTATGTCCTTTCCACTGAGTCATAGGGAACCTAAGGGGTAGTAGAGGCCAAAGCCCATTCAGGCCAACCCGAGCAAGTTTCACTGGCACATCAATAGACTTGTATCACTGGGTACGTGCTGCTGTGTGCATGGTTGCCCAATTATGTTCTGTCTGATGAGAACTCCTGCTTGTAGATGTATCACCACTGCATGACGGAATGCAGCACTGCCCCCTGCTGTAGTAAATAACAATCTCAGACCACTGTATTATACAAGTGGGTTTTGAAATTACTTTTGAAGAAAATTCACGGTTGTATAATTGGGTACGCTTCTGGGTGTAACTGAGAGCATGGTACAAAGGGAGTAGGGTGGGGTGTGGGAAAAAAGCCAGCAAATTGATGGAGGAAAAGCTTTAATCAATCATGTACCTTGACCTTTAAAAAAGCAGTTGGTAAGAAAACTCAGAGCATCGATAAGCAGAATTCTTTGGCAGGAGAAGCTAATGTGAAAAGAGGCTCAGAGTGGGTGGGAGTTTCTAAAAAAGGAGACACTAAAACATTATTTCCAACACTTCCAATGAGGAGCAAAAATAAAAGCAGAAGATTGCTATTGGTCAGATTGCATCTAGAATACTGTGTCCAGTTCTGGATATCACACTATACAATTCAGAAAAAGTGGAACAGATTCAGAGAAGAGCAATGAAGTCGATCAGAAGACTGGAAATTTAAGTCTTATGAAGACAGATTGGAGGAAGTGGGTGTTACCTTAGAAGAGTAAATTGAGAGAGGATGGAAGCAATGTTCAAAAACATTTCACAAAGAAAAAGAAAAAAATGTTCATCATTCCAGATTGAAGGTCACAGAATATTTCTGTTACAAGGAAGTATATTCTGACTGAATGCTAGGGAAAAAGAAAAGAAAAATCTTCCTAACAATTAAGAGCAGTTTGACAGTGAAAGCAATTAGATAGAAAGGTGGATCCCTTTCACTTGATATGTTTAAATGAAGAGTGGTACCTCCAACCTCTATGATATAATGTGTGAAACCAAGTCAGAAACTCAATTAAAAAAAAAAATTGATTGCAAAGAGCTTTGCTCTCAAATTTATTCAGAAGCAAAACCCACCACCAACAAACAGCCTCCGCCAATTTGGTGCCCTCCAGCTGTTTTGGATTTCACTTCATAGGAATCTCAACTAGTAATCTTGGGAATTGAAATCTAAAGTAGCTGGAGGGTGCCTGGTTAGGGAGGACAGAACCAGACTCTGAAGTGCTACAGTCTTGTCCTACCATCTCCGACTCCCACCTCACTTTCCTGCAGAGAGTTATAAGGTTAGGAGTAAAGGCAATGTGATACCAGGTAAGGAAGGGTAATGGGTGCCTATAAGCTTCTGAAAAAACATCTTCCACAACTTGCTTGAAATCTAATTGTTGAAAGGCTAGAGCTATTCATTTTGCGCTGTTTCAGAAAGACCCAGAGCAAACAGAGACATACTACCATAGATTCAGGGTGGAATACTATGTAGA